CTGATTGCATTCTCACACTTTGGCTCTGCCATGTGTCCTAGGGGTTTGCAAACTACAACCCCAGGCTCCCTTGCTAGCTAGCTGCCAGGAAGCAGTAAGTGACAAGAGACCTGGAAGGCAGTAGAAGAGGAGGACGTTCTTCCTCCTTTCAGTTCCTGGTGAAGTCTCTACAGCATGAGGTGCGCATTCTTCAGCATGGTACATAAAGCCCTTCACCATCTCATCACGTCCTACCTTATCTTCCACCAATCCTTTTTCCTTCACCCTAAACATCCAGTTCCAGAATATGCTTATATTTCTGAAAATCTAGCATGCTCCATTTTGGCCTCTCAGTCTCCCCAAGCAATTTTATTTGCCAGGTGAGACCTTTCTCCTTTTGTCTGCCTGAAGAATGTCTATTTATACCTTTAGAAGCAACTCAATGATTACCTTCTCAAGAGAGTCCTTGATATCTATAGGTGGGGCTAAATACATTTTCCTCTATACATTCTCATATTGGCTTACCCATACCACTGTAATAATGCTTCGTGCTATGATTTGTTTTTTAGGGGTTGTATCACCCACTTGAACATAAGGATTTTGAAGTCTGGGTCCAGTCACAGTACCTTGCTTGATAAATAACTTCATATTGATTCATCAGTACATGCTTCAGCTGCTTACAGCTAAAGGAGATTGTAAGCAGAAGAGGTGAAGTAACTTCATATGGTAAGGAATACAAGAATGTTTTAAAAACGATTTAGTAGGCTTTTCTCAGAGGCAATAGAATTTCACGGAGGATATATATTCTAGCAATTATAGCATGAAAAATACGAATTATAATAGGTAGATAACCTGCAAAATTGGGGAAAATCATAAGCTATACTTCATTACAGCTTAGAAAAATCTACAGATTCTTTCTGCATGGCTGCACTCATTTAAAAAAAATGATCACTAATAAAATAATAATACAATTGGATAGAAAAATAGGATAAAAAAGAAAGAATAGCTCATTTTAGAATTTATCACATCGTACTTACTTTTTTGTAATCATGTCAACAACAGAATTTAAATAATCTTCATTACTCTAATAAAAAAATGATCACTAATAAAATAATAATACAATTGGATAGAAAAATAGGATAAAAAAGAAAGAATAGCTCATTTTAGAATTTATCAGATCGTACTTACTTTTTTGTAATCATGTCAACAACAGAATTTAAATAATCTTCATTACTCTAAAAATGAGAAAAATACTTTACTGAAACTAAGCATGCCCCTTAGTTTATTAATACAACATTTTTGTTACATATAAATCTAATTTGTGTTTGGAATGTCATTATGTCCTAATAATTTCTAGTGTTTTCACTTTCTATAAAAGATTTTAAATATCCATATGCTTAACAAATCTGACTTGAATTCAGAAAATATTTCAGTCTTTCCCTTTTGCCACAATATCAAATATTACTATCCATTATTTATGCTTAAAAATTAGTATGCAAAATCTTATATATCTAAAAACATTTTGCTCTAAAAATGGTCATCTTGAAATGGCTTATGAAATGTTTACTCTTTTTGAAAATGTCTTCATTTTATGAGAATTATATAACACTAAACTTACTTCAAAATTATACCACATTTTTCCAGACACTATTACTCAGCTTGATTCCCAAATTTTCTTCTGTCAATAAACTTTGTGGACCTGCTCATCATTGAACAATGTGTTAGATTAGATGGCAGACTCATGTGTAAAAAGCTTTTGATGGTTTACCCTTTCTGGATAATTCTTTTTAAAAAATAATTGATGGCATTTACAAGATGTAGCCTCAGGGCCCATAAGCATTTCCAATATCAGATTCTGAAAATATTTTGAACAATGATAGTTCTGCTGTCAAATCCGAGTACTATGAAAGGCAACTCTGAATGTATATAATCAGGTTGTTTGTTTAAAAATATCAGATATGATGTAGTTAAATCTATTATAGTACTTATGGTTCTTAAGATAACCAGAAATTGAATCACCAGCTATTTGTCATACACTGAAACAAACTATATTTTAAACATAGCACTAAAGTATACATTTAAGCATTCTACATTCCATTTTTAAATTTGTCCCCCAATAATTTATTATTAGTCCAAATATTCTAGGCAGATGTGCATTGTGCCAACAGCGAAGAAATAAAGATTATAATATGTAAAATAAAGAAATATAAAAAAATTTTTTTTGGAGATTATCTGTATACTTCCAATATTAAGAAATTAAACTGGGATAGAATGACTGTTTAATCTTTTGTTTGTATTTTCATAAAAGTTCTTCTATTGCTTGTTTTGTTTGGATTTTTTTCTGCATTCAAATATATCTTTATTATAGAAAATTCAAGCAATAAATAAAACAATAAAGAAAGAAAAACAAAGATTCCTCTAACTCCTACCATTTAGAGATAACCACTATTTTTATTTTGGAGAGCATCATTCCAAGGTTTGCTCATTCTTTTTTTTTTTTTTTTTATCTTTATACACTTCATTTGTCTGTATATATTTTTGTTCCCTCTCTCCCTTCCCTACCTTTTTTTCACTCAATAGTATGATATGGGCATCATTTTATATTGGTGAGTATAGATATTCATTCTTCTTTCAATGGCTACAGAGTATTGCATTGTAGAGGTGTATAACAAAGTATTTAATCAGCCTCTTATTAGTTGTTTCCAATATTATGCTTTTATAAATCAATAGTGCACTGAAAAATTCTTGAAGTCATTATTTACTGAACACTGTGCCATGCATCATTCTGAGTACTTTAAATACATTAGCTAACTTCATCCCAATCAAGCCTATGACATAGCTAATACCATCATCACTATCTCACAGATAAGGAAAGTGAAGCATGGAGAAATAAGTTGCTCAAGTTCACAGGAAGTAGAGAGGCTGGCGTTTGAACCTTGGTAATCTAGATCCAGACTCTGGGTTCTCAACTTCCATTCTGTACTGTCATATTCTTATTGTTTTCAAACACTCATCTGACTGTGTCCTTAGGATAAGTTCCCAGAATTTGAATTGTGAGACACAGGATATATATATTTTAAATTTGATACATGTTGCCAAATTTCACTCCAAAAAGTCTTATGGTGTTAATATTTACACAGTATTTTATAGTTTTACATGGTATGAGAGGCAAAATAGAAATCTTTGGAGCCATTGGAGAAACCTAGATTTGAATGTGCTCTATTAATTACTGGGCTAGTTATGTAGTTTCTTTAAGCTTGAGTTCCTTCATCTGTAAAATTAGGATAGTA